TGATGGGTGTTACAGTATTCACGGTCACTGAAAGCTAATATTCAGGACAGCGTGCACATATAAATTGTTTGCGGGTTCAGCACATAACCTGCGCCACCATGTTTTATGTCAAATCTATGTCAGCCACTCGAAGTCTGAGTGAAGACGGACAACAGACTTAGAAAGTCAACTATCATGACATAGCATTTGAGGGAAGGCAGGATATGTGACGCCCATGTAAGACAAAAGACCTTCAGACTAGACTGGAGAGGATGTGGAATATGAGGAGGAGTGATGGGCTATATCTTATTATTATATGTTGTATTAATTGATACATGTATTCTTAGTGTAAGTCAAGATACTACACGTATGTGTTTTGTTTCCATGATTACAGCGCCCATGTGACGATCAGTCCATGAAGTAGCCTACATTGTGTTAGACTCGGCCAGCTGGGAACGAGGTGGAGAACGAGGTGGAGAACGAGGTGGAGAACGAGGTGGAGAACGAGGTGGGGATGAAGTGGAGAATAAGCTGAAAAACAGGCAGACAACAGGCAAGGAAGAGTTGGACAAGCTTGACAGTTCCTCACGGCTGTCAGAGGCTTATAAGTTGAGTTAACCCCTTTATGTTAACCTTTTATCATCATTATCATACCACTCTAAACCCCGAGCTGTTTGTCTCGCTGAAGCGTAGTACTTTCATTAACCAGTCACTGTTTGTGTAAATCAACAAACTGGGAATTTCATTGTAGTAAATAAAGCTGTATGTCAAGTTTTAAACTACATAGTTTGTTAAATTCCAAATGTCTGTTCTTACATGTTTAATTAAACTGTTAAGATAGATTACCATTTGGTGGGGGCTCAAATAATATAATAATTCTTTAATTATTAATAATAGCACCGGGAGAAGGTAGATGACGGAGGAATCATTTGCCCTGTCTAATAATTCATTATACTAAAATGCTATAGACATCTAAAATTCCTTGCCTTCTCTTGTGGGTACCAAGTGCAGCTAATGTTAAAGTACTTAACGAGCCAATATGGCTGTTTTCTTGGATATCCAGGACTTTGTCTGAGAGCAACATAGCTCAGATTTTAGGTCGGTGTATCTAGTGGAGAGAATGTGTTGAAAGGAAGATCCCTACTCAACAACATAAACATTTAAACCACGCGTCACGTCACAGTTCCTATACCCGTCGGCTCCTAATTTATTGTCTATCACTGCCGCAGACAATCTGCTTTCTTATACACGTCGGCTCCTAATTTATTGTCTATCACTGCCGCATACAGTCTGCTTTCTTATACCCGTCGGCTCCTAATTTATTGTCTATCACTGCCGCATACAGTCTGCTTTCTTATACCCGTCGGCTCCTAATTTATTGTCTATCACTGCCGCAGACAGTCTGCTTTCTTATACCCGTCGGCTCCTAATTTATTGTCTATCACTGCCGCAGACAGTCTGCTTTCTTATACCCGTCGGCTCCTAATTTATTGTCTATCACTGCCGCAGACAGTCTGCTTTCTTATACCCGTCGGCTCCTAATTTATTGTCTATCACTGCCGCATACAGTCTGCTTTCTTATACACGTCGGCTCCTAATTTATTGTCTATCACTGCCGCAGACAGTCTGCTTTCTTATACCCGCCGGCTCCTAATTTATTGTCTATCACTGCCGCAGACAGTCTGCTTTCTTATACCCGTCGGCTCCTAATTTATTGTCTATCACTGCCGCAGACAGTCTGCTTTCCTATACCCGCCGGCTCAGTCTTCTCTTCTCCCTCTTCTTCTTCAAGAATAAGAGGGTCAAGGGCAATCAACACACGCTTTTCAAAAAGAAAAGAAAAGGAGAAATCGCT